CGGCTGTGCCACTGCCAACGTTATTAAGGCAAGCCATTGCGCCACTCCCAGTGTTATTAAGGCAAGCCCGCTGTCCACTGCCAATGTTATAAAAATAAATTATTGTGTGGACGATGGCTACATTTAGGTAAGTTTTCTTTTTCTCTTTTCCCCTCTCCTTTCCCTGTGTTTATGCGTTTTAATTGTTGTTTTTTCTTTTTTAGTTATCTCTATACATTAACATGGTCCCATTAACGATAACTTCAGTCAACAAAAGTACTCAAAATAGAACAATTTTGGTATGTTGCTACGCCTTATTACCATCTATAGTCATGTCACGGACAAAGCTCGGACTGTATGGCTTATGAAATCCATATTACATTATACATAATTGCATTCACTAATACTGTTGTATTAATATTTACAGATATCAGACGTATACAATAATATGCCTGTCATTTGCTTGCGCCTGACAACATTGGTGGATAAATTATATTGAATGATATCATCTTATGTCAATGAATATTCAAAAATTAAACAATTCAATTCAACCACTTCAACGAAATCGCACGTACAAAGAAAAGTTAACACGTCTACGGTTGTGTTGTTATGTTATCTGAAAATTCAATGTGGAAGACTTGAAAAATAATAAAGATAAACAGTACTTGAAGATACGATTTGGATATTTGTTGTACGGTACATTGCACCTGGCTCTGATACCAAAACATGTTAAAGCGAAAAGCTACTCAACGAAGTCGCACGTACAGTACAAAGAAAAGGCAAGGAAGATTTGATAATTAAGAAAGATGCACAGTACTTGAAAAAGTACTTTATTGTACGGTACATTGCACCTGTTCGAATACTCCTAATCGAGCCAACAACGTGCGTGAGTACCTGTTATACGAACAATGGACTTGATATGCATCGTAATCAACATCTTCAAACTTAAGCTGGGTAGAACATGTACTGTAATACGCAATAACACGTGTTCTATTGTCATAGAAAAATGACTCGTCTTTTAGTCTTCACTAGCTGAATGTTCGTTATTTATAATTCACGTTGTCATTGACCATTTTTGGCAAACTTTGGAAATTGTGGAATGGATTGTAATTAAATCACTGACTTATAGACTTATTTTATATATTGAACAATTGACTGTAACCCTTACTCTAATTTCAATTTTGTATATACAGTAGCCATCGTGCAAAATATATCTTATTTAGTATTGTACTATTTGTGTTGATTATTATCATCAAACGTTATACATCGTTGCATTAGTTTACTAATGAAGTAAAACTTTATATAGATGTCTAGTGTTAGAAAGTCGTATCTCTTCAAGCCTAGATTTAGGCAAATATTTGCATAGGCGTCGAAAGATTTATAAGTGGGGGGACCATATTCATATATTCGTATTCACAGACCTTAAAAACAATCGATTTCAAAAGAAATTAATGATGCAGAACACGAATATATGAATATGGTCCCCCCCCCCACTTATCGATCTTCGACGCCTATGAATATTTGCGTACAACATACTATAGACGGATGGAGGAGTGCGACCCCCCTCCCCCAAGAAAACCTGTGCACTCCCCAAAGAATTTTCCCGCCCCAAAAAAGGTTTTGTTAGATTAGTTATAAGCGCACGTATCAAAAGGTTTGATTGGCATGCAACATGTACGCGCTGCGTACCTATTTTTTGCATATTTCAGACACATCCAGAAATATGCTCCCGATTTTAAACATTAATATCTCCGTGAATTTTTAAGTGAAATACAACTTTAATATATCAAAATCTAAGTTAGTCCTTCCTCTATTTGATGCAAGTTATTTCTCTTTAAAAGCTTTACTTGGTTAGAAGTTATTACGAATCAAACCGGAGTACTTTTTTGGGACACCCGGTAGTAATCGTGGGTTTATATCTTAAACATTGATTACAACTCGAGAACATTATACTGTTATTATTTCAGTAGCGCTATTTAAACAGTCTGTATATGTCACACAAACTCATTATTGCAGGTACACTCATATACCTTTTCCCAGAGAAATCATTATCCACGAAACGACTCCTGTCACTTCCAAATGCCATAGACTGATCCTATAAAACACACAGTATATAGTGACATATCCCATATACCCTTTACATTCAGTTGTTCCTTTAAATAAATCTGAACTAATAAATCTCACGGGTTGTTTCACCTGCACGTAATGTTCATCTGATGCACAGCAGGGTCTTAGCTAGAAGGCCGTGTTGGCCGTGTTATCACGGCCAAAAATGGAAAAACACGGCTAGATAAAATGAACGCGTCTTCACTATTTATATAAGGTGCTTTATATATGGTGCTACTTACAACAGACAGAATTTCTTTCTATTTACGTCATAAGAAAGTTTGTAAAATCTATTGTTGTTGTTGAAATTGGCAAAAGTGATCCGTGATGTTTTAATGTTTTGATGGATAATGGGAACCATGTGTTTAAAGTGGTTTTAAGTTTTAAATACCCCCAACTGGCTTCAAGAGTTGCTGAAATAACTTAATGTTTTAATGACAGTGCGCAATACGAGTATATGCTCGCCTTGTATTTGGTTGCAAAGCATAGAACCACCACAGGCATTGTCCGGTGTTGTAGAACCGTGAATTTGGATATGCAAGGTAATTGACATGTGCACACCCTGGTTTTTTAGAAACACGCCCAAGATCTAAAATCCTAGCTAAGACCCTGGTTGCGCTTATAACATGTTGAGTCATTTGGTCTACATTGCTTTTAAAATTTTTTTCATAGACGTTTGATTAACTCTTGAAACTTGAAAAATTGTGCTGTGTTAGAAGTGTCAAATGTAAACTTTACTTATCATCCTCATTGTCTTCCAAACATAAATACTGACAGGAATTGTTGGGTGACAACAAGGGAGGCAGTGTGTCAAATTTAAATAAATTAATCAACATGATTAACTAATAATAATAATCGTATTGATTAATAAGGTTATCAATTAATAAGATTAATCGATAATGAAATTGAACTGAAGGGAACAGCTCTAGTTAGTTTGAGCCTGAATCTGGATAGGATTCAAAGGTCAGACTATAGCCAAACAAAAAGTGTTGGTTTCAGGTTTCAGACTGACGGGTGACCGTAAACATTTTATTGACATAATTGCAAAGATTTCCCTCTTACAAACATGGTTTCTGTTTAACATTTTTCTGTTTAATAATCATGTCTGGTCATGCTAATGATAGTTTTAAACTTGAATCTACGTGTTTCAGTGTTTGTATACACTTGTCTATACAGAAATATAATTTTGTGTCATATATACAGTATTACTTATAATAAAATATCTTAAAAATAAAATGTTTTTTCTGACCTACATACCCTTATAAAACATTGCTATGAAACCTTAATTAAACCAACATTTTTTTCCCTAACTTTGATTGAACCCTAGTTTCTGGCTTTTATATACTTATACAGCATATATATATATATATAGTATATTTGTGTGCAAACATGAGGATATTACCGAATTATCCTTCTAATGTAACCTAACATTCCTCATTCATTCATTCATTCACTCCTGATGATGACTAAAGTAATCATACATGACGCACATATACGACAATAATTACTTTATTTTTTATTAGTCCCCCTCGAAAATAAGAGCTCTTTGTTTACTGTTTATATTTACCCGTTAAGCGCTAGCACTCTCCTTGATGAGTAAAATCAGTAAAGTTCAGAGAAGAAAATTCCTACTGATCCAGACAAGTCAAGAAATATTTCCAAATGAATGCATAAACAAGCTGTTGGGAAGCTTGCTTTTAATTTTAGCTTAGGGCACATTCTACTGTAGGTAGGGCACATTATAGGATGCAACATGATTAAACAAATTGATCAAATCACAATTTGTTTTCCCTGCATAATAACAGTGTCACATGTTCCCAAAAGGGGCTTGCCTAAACTACATGAATTGGATAGGAATTCTACCACGACCTTTCCAGAGGAAGAAATTTATTAAACCCTGCTCCTTCTATTAAAGAATCCTCTTTATGTTATCATCCATAGCCCTCCAATAAACCTGACCCTGGTAGACAAATGTGTGAGATTTTAGTATCATGCGACATTGATGAGGACATTAGCTATAAGAACTTCTTGTTTTCATATTGATGAATTCCTGAAGTAGTAACAAATTGCCATAGCTACGAAGAAGTAGATGATTACAATGAGAATACACAAATATACATTTTGTAAAGAGTTAATTTCTAACACATCTTCAGAATTCTTACTTTTTACTTGAATATTAGTTGAGAGGAAGCAAAGCGTCAGCATTGTCAATTGCACGAACGATTTTCTTTTATATTCAGATCAATCTATGCAAGTTAGTCACATGATATGTTGATCCCCATAATGTATTTCAGTAATGGAAATGACTGATAAACTAAATTAATGAATTTGGCAAGTAACATATATATATATATATATATATATATATATATATAATACCAGCTGACTTACAATTTTAGTTGCTAGGTAGCTGAAACGTGCTTTCCAGAATAAGTAGATTGATCAAAGACAACTCCCACAAGGAGGTTTAAAGCATTTTTTAGATGAAAAAATGTAAAACCGCAAAATTTGACTTTTCGATATTTAGAGAACGCTTGTTAACTCTGAACCACAAAGGAATTCTATTTAGTTTGGAATTAGCCAGATCAGTCAGTTTCTTTTGGTCTTTATTTGAGGTAAAAGTGTTTCGGTCATTAGCAATGTTTCGGCAATAACATAGTAAGGGGCCGGTTGTTCAGAAGCCGATTCAAAGCCAACTTCTCAACAGCTTGTTTATCTTGTCTGGATCAGTAGGAGCAGGTATAGAAAATATACTTCTCTTCCTGGCAGCAAAATGGAAAAATAAGAATTTCCTGTGTAGGTCAACGTATGGTGCGGTACATTGTGATAAACTTCAGTATATCGGCACAAGACAATCTCGACTTGAAAAACACTTTTGTAAACAATACGTAAATTTGAAAAATATGCCCGGCCACGGTGGGATTCGAACCTACGACCTTTGGAATACTAGCTACTCAGAGTAACACCACAAATATCATATTCACCTGAGTACACTACACCAATACGTAAATTATATGGCATTCCAGTATATAAGATGACAAAAATTTCCTGCAAGGTAAGAAAAGATATTTTGGTAAAAATTTCCTGGCAGCGGTGCTGCTGGCGCTGCCGGACATTTTCCAGCACTGAATAGTAGTTTTCTTCTCTGAAGTTTTGAAATAAACGGATGCGTAGAAATACATAAACTAAAACAGAAAGTTAAATTTTAACCGCGAGTTATAGTGAGGCGGATATGTGTAAAATTATTGATCAGTAGTTCCCGTTGAGGTTAAAAGCATCAAACTTTTACAATTGTTGTAGTTTTATTTGCTTAATAGATATTTGAAGTGCATGGGGCCATCGCTATTTTGCTGCTAACTCCTGAAAACGGGTGATGATTTTCTTCTATTGAATTCTATTATAGCCAAAAAATGTGAAATTTTGTATTCAATTACAACAAATATGACTTGCATCATCAGAAAGCTTATAAAAACTGCATAAGAAGTTTAGACAGTTTTTTAAACGCATTTTCAAACATCGAGACTTTTAGCGAGATAATGTATAGTTTTATAGTTTTTACAAGCTTTCTGATGATGCAAGTTATATTTGTCGCGATTGAATTCAAAATTTAACATTTTTTGTTGTAGTAGAATTTCATAGCAAATAATGCTAATAGCATCGTAACTCTCTAAAAAAACAGTTTCACGATGGCCCCATTTTGCATGTTGTTCGACTCATAAAAAGATGCTATTGTGCACAATTTGGTGCTTTTAACCTTCTTCGGAAACATCCATGCACATATCCGCCACACTATTAGCGCTAATCCAGCTTAGAGCAACCGAGCCAGGGTGTATAAGGATACATTACCACTGAACGGGTTAGAAGAGACATGTGTGCATGTTTAGTTGTAAAGCATAAATGTCATATGTGTGAATGCGTGCTGTGTGTTTGTTTTCAGTTCAAACAGAGCAGGTAACAAATGTTGAAAAATGTACATCATTGGAGATAAAGATGAAAGAAAACATGAAAGTGTTGAAAAATGGCCAGAAAGATATTCTGGATTATAAAAGACAATTGCAAATGTCATATGCTAAGGTAATGTTCATGGTTTGTTACAAATTCTATTTCCTTCATCACAAGGAGAGATAGAAGTCGTATTTAAATAGAGAAAAGTATATTTTACTCTCTTTTCTTGTGGAATGTATAAGTCACCATTCACCAAGATATATTTGCGGACCACAATGTATATTTGTAGATCACTTTTAAATTCTTTAAGTATACATATTTGGTCGTAACGTAAAACATGGTCAAAGAGAACATTTATATAGGTACTAAGTCTAAGCTACTGTAAATAGTTGTCTTGTGAATTATCTGTAAGAGGAATTGGGTTTGCAGCAGAATCACAGAGTAGCATGCAGTTTCGGATTGAGAGTTTGTATTTTAAGGTTTCATCTGTATTAAAGTTTCCTCTGTAAAGTGATTCCATCCGTGCAATACTCTTTGTTTAGGACTGTATAGGCTTTTATTGAC